GTAAACGGACAGACAAACAGAGGTAGTAAGTAACCTCGAAGAATTGAACTGAAGCCAAGGCAAATCAGAAACATTTGATATCATCTCCAACAAAACTATTACGAACTTGTCAGTGATACTTGGAGAATTTGAACCAGAACTCACAGAAGTCGAGAATTGGGACCCAAGTCTCGGGTATTACATGCCGAACTCAAAATAACAATAATCATCATCTTAACACAACAGTTTACCCCCTACGAGTTTTCTTTGAAATAGTCAATATTGGGGGAAAACAAAACCTGCTCTATGATTCTTTCCAGTAATTTTCAGTACCGTGGTCGGAACAGCAAGCGATGCTACGTTAAAGTGAAGCCCATTTGAGAGAAAAACAAGCTTGAAACTTTGTTTCGGCCATTTTGACTGAAAAAATAAAATAAAATAGCAGCTTCATAGCCTATGTAAGAAGATATCTTGCTATCAAAAAGTGAGCAGCTAACGAACGTGTCAAAGATTTCATTTGACAACTCTTCAGTCAAAATCAATTTTTCCGCGCGCCACTGTGATTGATAAGAATCAATGAAAAGCAAATTTGAAATATCAAAACGTAGCAGACTCAAAATCAATTTATCCGCGCCCCACTTTGATTGATAACAATATATGAAAAAGTAATTTGAAAGATCAAAACGTAGCCAAAACGAAAGTCCCCTTCTGTCAAAAGTTCCGAAGAATCAATTAAACAAATGAATTATATTGCCAATCTTAATACACAGCAGTCAGTGTTGGTCGGCAAATATCTCACACCTTAACGTCCTTGAAAACTTGCAAAAGCGTGTTTTGAACTGGGCAGCTGGATATAAGGGCTACAAAGGCAACCTTATGGGATTTTTTTTATTTGCCTTCTCCTTATATATGCAATTGCAGGAACTCCTTCTCTCGAAAATAATTAATGACTTTTACGACTATATAAGCAAATATGTCTGATTCAGTAACACATCTAGAGATTTGATATCCAGTGACTTTTCGAGTTTTGACTATTTCCTTCCAGTTGAGAAAATTTTCCAGCAGAGTTTTCTGTTCAGACATCAGCACTTGTAAACAGACAGAAAAACAGAGGCAGTAAGTAACCTCGAAGAACTGAACTGAAGCCCAGGCAAATCAGATACATGTGATATCATCTCCATCAAAACTATAACGAACTTGTCAGTGATACTTGGAGAATTTGAACCAGAACTCTCATAAGTCAAGAATTGGGACCCAAGTCTCGGGTAATATAAGCCGAATTCAAAATAATAATAATCATCATCTTAATACAACAGTTTACCCCCTACGAGTTTTCTTTGAAATAGTCAATATTGGGGGAAACAAAACCTGCTCTATGATTCTTTCCAGTAATTTTCAGTAACGTGGTCGGAACAACAAGCGTTGCTATGTTAAAGTGAAGCCCATATGAGAGAAAAACACGATTGAAACTTTGTTTCGGCCATTTTGACTAAAAAAGTAAAAAATAAAATAGCAGCTTCATAGCTCAGAAAGTAAACTTCCACTTCTTCACCAAAATGCCTATGTGAGAAGATATCTTGCTATCAAAAAAAGTGTGCAGCTGACGAACGTGTCCAAGATTTCATTTAACAACTCTTCACTCAAAATCAATTTTTCCGCGCGCCACTGTGATTGATAAGAATCAATGAAAAGCAAATTTGAAATATCAAAACGTAGCCGACTCAAAATCAATTTATCCGCGCCCCACTTTGATTGATAACAATATATGAAAAAGTAATTTGAAAGATCAAAACGTAGCCAAAACGAAAGTCCCCTTCTGTCAAAAATTCCGAAGAATCAATTAAACAAATGAATTATATTGCCAATCTTAATACACAGCAGTCAGTGTTGGTCGGCAAATATCTCACACCTTAACGTCCTTGAAAACTTGCAAAAGCGTGTTTTGAACTGGGCAGCTGGATATAAGGGCTACAAAGGCAACCTTATGGGATTTTTTTTATTTGCCTTCTCCTTATATATGCAATTGCAGGAACTCCTTCTCTCGAAAATAATTAATGACTTTTACGACTATATAAGCAAATATGTCTGATTCAGTAACACATCTAGAGATTTGATATCCAGTGACTTTTCGAGTTTTGACTATTTCCTTCCAGTTGAGAAAATTTTCCAGCAGAGTTTTTTGTTCAGACATCAGCACTTGTAAACAGACAGAAAAACAGAGGCAGTAAGTAACCTCGAAGAACTGAACTGAAGCCCAGGCAAATCAGATACATGTGATATCATCTCCATCAAAAGTATAACGAACTTGTCAGTGATACTTGGAGAATTTGAACTAGAACTCTCATAAGTCAAGAATTGGGACCCAAGTCTCGGGTAATATAAGCCGAATTCAAAATAATAATAATCATCATCTTAATACAACAGTTTACCCCCTACGAGTTTTCTTTGAAATAGTCAATATTGGGGGAAACAAAACCTGCTCTATGATTCTTTCCAGTAATTTTCAGTAACGTGGTCGGAACAACAAGCGTTGCTATGTTAAAGTGAAGCCCATATGAGAGAAAAACACGCTTGAAACTTTGTTTCGGCCATTTTGACTAAAAAAGTAAAAAATAAAATAGCAGCTTCATAGCTCAGAAAGTAAACTTCCACTTCTTCACCAAAATGCCTATGTGAGAAGATATCTTGCTATCAAAAAAAGTGTGCAGCTGACGAACGTGTCCAAGATTTCATTTAACAACTCTTCACTCAAAATCAATTTTTCCGCGCGCCACTGTGATTGATAAGAATAAATGAAAAGCAAATTTGAAATATCAAAACGTAGCCGACTCAAAATCAATTTATCCGCGCCCCACTTTTATTGATAACAATATATGAAAAAGTAAATTTGAAAGATCAAAACGTAGCCATAACGAAAGTCCCCTTCTGTCAAAAGTTCCGAAGAATCAATTAAACAAATGAATTATATTGCCAATCTTAATACACAGCAGTCAGTGTTGGTCGGCAAATATCTCACACCTTAACGTCCTTGAAAACTTGCAAAAGCGTGTTTTGAACTGGGCAGCTGGATATAAGGGCTACAAAGGCAACCTTATGGGATTTTTTTTTATTTGCCTTCTCCTTATATATGCAATTGCAGGAACTCCTTCTCTCGAAAATAATTAATGACTTTTACGACTATATAAGCAAATATGTCTGATTCAGTAACACATCTAGAGATTTGATATCCAGTGACTGTTTGAGTTTTGACTATTTCCTTCCAGTTAAGAAAATTTTCCAGCAGAGTTTTTTGTTCAGACATCAGCACTTGTAAACAGACAGAAAAACAGAGGCAGGAAGTAACCTCGAAGAATTGAACTGAAGCCAAGGCAAATCAGATACATTTGATATCATCTCCAACAAAACTATTACGAACTTGTCAGTGATACTTGGAGAATTTGAACCAGAACTCACAGAAGTCGAGAATTGGGACCCAAGTCTCGGGTATTACATGCCGAACTCAAAATAACAATAATCATCATCTTAACAACAGTTTACCCCCTACGAGTTTTCTTTGAAATAGTCAATATTGGGGGAAAACAAAACCTGCTCTATGATTCTTTCCAGTAATTTTCAGTACCGTGGTCGGAACAACAAGCGATGCTACGTTAAAGTGAAGCCCATTTGAGAGTCCCCAATATATGAAAAAGTAAATTTGAAAGATCAAAACGTAGCCATAACGAAAGTCCCCTTCTGTCAAAAGTTCCGAAGAATCAATTAAACAAATGAATTATATTGCCAATCTTAATACACAGCAGTCAGTGTTGGTCGGCAAATATCTCACACCTTAACGTCCTTGAAAACTTGCAAAAGTGTGTTTTGAACTGGGCAGCTGGATATAAGGGCTACAAAGGCAACCTTATGGGATTTTTTTTTATTTGCCTTCTCCTTATATATGCAATTGCAGGAACTCCTTCTCTCGAAAATAATTAATGACTTTTACGACTATATAAGCAAATATGTCTGATTCAGTAACACATCTAGAGATTTGATATCCAGTGACTGTTTGAGTTTTGACTATTTCCTTCCAGTTAAGAAAATTTTCCAGCAGAGTTTTTTGTTCAGACATCAGCACTTGTAAACAGACAGAAAAACAGAGGCAGGAAGTAACCTCGAAGAATTGAACTGAAGCCAAGGCAAATCAGATACATTTGATATCATCTCCAACAAAACTATTACGAACTTGTCAGTGATACTTGGAGAATTTGAACCAGAACTCACAGAAGTCGAGAATTGGGACCCAAGTCTCGGGTATTACATGCCGAACTCAAAATAACAATAATCATCATCTTAACACAACAGTTTACCCCCTACGAGTTTTCTTTGAAATAGTCAATATTGGGGGAAAACAAAACCTGCTCTATGATTCTTTCCAGTAATTTTCAGTACCGTGGTCGGAACAACAAGCGATGCTACGTTAAAGTGAAGCCCATTTGAGAGAAAAACAAGCTTGAAACTTTGTTTCGGCCATTTTGACTGAAAAAATAAAATAAAATAGCAGCTTCATAGCCTATGTAAGAAGATATCTTGCTATCAAAAAGTGAGCAGCTAACGAACGTGTCAAAGATTTCATTTGACAACTCTTCACTCAAAATCAATTTATCTGCGCCCCACGGTGATTGATAAGACAATATGAAAAAATAAATTTGAAATATCAATACGTAGCCAACAAAAAGTTCGAAAAAAGTAATGAACGCAAGAAAATAGGAAAAAAACCTTCGAATTTCCGTGAAAAAAAAAATTGTTAAAATTAACCCAATTCGAGAAAACCAGCTCAATTTTTAATTCCGCTGCGAAAACATTAAAATCACTTTTCGAAACTAGAATTCGATCACGTCTTTCATAACCTTTACACTTTGCCTTTTGGATAGTGGAGTTTTCCTTCCTTTTAAGAATGGAAACGAACTGAAATTAAAAGAAACCGAGAAAAACAAAAATTAAAAAATTTTGAGACTTTTTCCTGAAAAAAGATCACCAAGATCTATATAAGAGTCTTCACTGTGTCTATTACTCTTAATCAGCAACAACAAAAATTATATACCATTCAAAATATAATAGGGAAGTCACTGCATGTGGTTCATTGGATGAGATGGCACATACTAGTAGTGCCTGAAAACAAGTAAATTGGCTCTGCTTCTAGCGTAGTCCTAGTTTCTTTTTGAGTTTTTCTTTCTTGCGCACTTGGTGAATGTCTCTCTCCTGCCAACTGCTCTTTCTCAGTTTAATGGGCCTGTTGCCGACATACTTTCCATTCATCTCCTTCATTGCACGCACGTAATCGGCAGAATCCGAGAAACTGAGGAAGCCGTAGCCTTTCGTTTTATTTGTACGCTTATCTCTCACCACTTTCACCCGCTGCAGAGAAGGGTACTGAGAAAAAGCTCTTCGTAAATGATCATCGCTCACCTCATTGCCCAGATCACCACAGAACACACGAAAGTCATTTGGATCCCAGTCATGTAATGACATGTCTTCCCATGTTTCGCCGCCTGCCGCTCTTACAAACTTTTTCGGTTTTGTAGCACCAATTTTCTGTTTTTGAGCTGAGCTTGAGGCTTGTGAGTTTTTTGCGACAGCTGAAGTTGCAAAACCACCTGCAGATCCCATGTTATTCACAGGTGCGTTGAGGGACTCCGCCAGAGCTGGTGGCAGCGATACAGGCTGTGGATTTTTGATTTGCGGAGCAATAGGAACTGGTCCAGGACGTGTGACAGGGTTATAGTTGGGCTGCTTCGGCGTTTTGTATATGCTCGGTCTAGATTCAATAACAAGGTTACTAGGTTCAAACTTGTCGGCCGTTGTATGAAAGACATGCTGCTGCATGTGAGCATTGGATGTTGCATTACCTGTGGCAAGCACTTCGGGTTGAGACTGCATCTGCATAGGTTTAGGAGGTATGAAGTTAGAAGCCAAGCTTGAATGTGAATGTGGTTGAGCGGGAGCAGTCAGGGCAAAGCAGAAAGAAGGGGGCCGCGGGGGTGGCGCTAGAGGCATTGCTTGTGGTCGGATGAGAACTTGGGGTCTGAATGCAAGCGCCGATCCCACTCCTGCTCTAGGCATGAACTGTGGGCCTAATTGATAAGAAGCCATAGACAGTTCTTGTTCAAACTTGGACATTTCGTCTTCCAAAGAGTTGCCATTTCCAATCCGAGCGTTGTGAGCCATGATAAAAACCTATCTGAAAATAATTTAGATTTGCTAACCATTTTTCTCTCAACCTACTGCACCTCAATGATTGATTCCTCACCCGAAAAAAGTGTTGAGAAATTTACACAATTATTCAGAAATCATTGACATCAAACATAACTTCAATATATTGCATCGCTGAATATTTAATATTAAGTTTTGAACTAAACAGCTAAATATTTCAATAGTACGGCCTCCTTGGGTTATTCATCGGGTTTGGTCGATACTTGTATGCCATCATCATTCCTGAACACAAATCAAATGAGATTGTCTAATGATCTCAAAATAAAACAAAGTCATTTACTGATTGCCTGTATCCTTGACTTAAGGGCCTTATTTTAATCATTGACTTAAATGATTTCTGAGCATAAAGCAAAACGGCTTCGCGGCAAAAAAATGCAAGATAAAATAATCTTGAATACTGTTAGTTGCATTATATCGAAATTTCATACACAGAGGCGAAGCATAGCTTCGAACAGCTTCCGATACCACAAACATAGCATTGCGTGCTAGCAGACAAGAAAAAATGAGAGCCAACAATTCGGAAAAATGCCGACAAAAACAATTACAAACATAGCCAACAAAAGATTTAAAAAGTGTAAAAGAAGAAGAAAACCAAATAAAAACGTTTTTAACATTTTTATCTTTCGCTTTTCATAGAATAAATTATATCACGTGAGAGCTTTTTAAAATTTTAGAAATGTTTACGACTGACTTTTGCTTATTTAAGTTATCCCACTTAGAGAAAACTGGATCAATAGATACCTTTTTATTCCGTGTTGAAACTAGAAATCGATACCGTTGTTCATGACCTTTAACTTTGTCGTGCGATAGTAGAGTTTGCATTCCTTTTAACTCAACTTGAAAATAAATCAAAAGTCGAACCGCAAAAAAAAACAAATGTGAGCTTGAAACTAGACTTTTCCCGAAAAAAAAAGAAAACAATCATCACGACCTATAAAAGAGTCTTGACTACGTTTACCAATCCTTAAAAAAGTATAGCCAACACACTTGTTTTTTTTTCAAAATATCATCTTTCGAATTTCAAAAAAAGTAGAATTTAGAAAACTACGACTGACACTTTTTTGATAAAATTAACCAAGTTTGAGAAAACTGGATTAATGGATGAAGCTTTTATTTCGCTAAATTCCATTTTCAAAATTTGAAGTCGATCACGTTTTTCGTGACCTTTATACTCTCACTGTTCGATAGTGGATTTTGCCTTCCTTTTATCAAAGGAAATGAAACGAATTTGAAACGAGGTCAAAAGTCAAACCACGAAAAGGTAAAATTCAGCCTTAATAATTTTTAAAACTTTTCCTGATAAAAAAAATATCGAAACGACCTATATAAGAGTCTAAACTACGTTCATCGACTGCTAAAAAAAACAAATTCACGACACTTGCTATCACAGATGCACAGACTTTACCCTGAAAGAAAAACTAACAAAAAAAATTCAAAATAGACCTAAATGAGTGACAGTCACTTCGAGCATTAACAATTTCATCAAATCTCTTTAATAATTTCATCAATTCCAGCGAAAGATAGGACTTGAGAAAAATCTTTTGATTTTGTTAAAAACACTAGCAAGCAAGTTGACAAAATAAAGGAGAACCTAGCCAAAGAGAACTCAAATCCACTCGTTATTTTGTAACGAACATTAGGTTCGTCATTTTCATGCGGACAAAAATTATCCAGAGGCAAAGCTCCGCTTCGCAAACACAAGCGGGTAAAATGTAAGAAAGAGCTCTAAACAGGCAAAAGAAAGCGAAATAGGGAAAAGATTTTACGAAAGTAAACCTTGAGAAAAAATAAGGAGACTAGGAGTATCACGATCTCAAATCTGCTCCACAGCCGCTCATAATTTACTAACAATAGCCACCAATAAAGCAGGAACATTGAAATATTAGTAATTTGATATAAACTAATATCAAATATCTAATATTTCAATGTTCCGGATTTGAATCTCCAACCTGCTGATTAGAAGTCTCTCGTCCTCGCACCTGCGTCACGGCCACGAAATTAACTAGTGCGCCAGCAAATGCTGGATGTATCTGTTTCAAAAAATTTAATCATATTCTGTCGCTAATGAAATGCGCAATTTTCAAAATTTCAAAAAATAGAATTTTCGCAAAAGCCTAGTGATCTATCAGCTTAAGTAGGGGATTAGCCACTTATTTAAAGGAGAAAACTATTTCTTACTTTTTCAAGTTTATAAAAAAAGAGGAAAACGATTCCAAAAAAAACTATCAAAAACTTCCTAAGTCCAAAAACATTTCTCTACTAAAGCATGGGAACAGTCTCTTCTGCAGGGAAGAAGTCCACACCCTGATCTTTGAATTGAAGCTTCGATATTACATTTAGCTAGCAGTTTTCGGGAACAGTGATGAAAGTTCTTAAAAACCGGTAAAACTTTTTAAAAAATTGGATTTTTCCGAAGCGAGCTTTTCTACAAATAAAAAGAGTAAAACATATTGCGCATGGAAAACTTACGGGTCACTTTAGTTTGAATGAACCATCAACCTTAGAATCAACAGACTAAATTTTTTTTTTAAATAAGATTCCAAAAAACGGACAAAAAATTCAAAAATTGACAGTTTCTAAGGCCATTTTTTTCAAAACGTAGGGCATAGGCGCTTGCGCGGGGGAAAATTGCCCAAAAAAAAATTTTTTCTTTCGTTCAAACTGTTAATCTCCGATAAAAACTGGCTTATTTGAGGCCATTACTTTTTCTACCGAACTAACGGAGTAGCCACTCGAGAATTGAAGATTCTCATGATTTTTCTTTGGATTGAAACCTTGATCTCAGATTTCTGCATTTCATATTTGGGAAATGAAAAAACTTAAAACAAATAGGTAGGTCAAACCTCCCCCTACTGAAACTTTCGCAAGCCGAATAACGTGGGGTAAAATGAAAAGAGACAAGCGAAATAAGCAAGTACATAGAAGAGCAGCCGGTGTTTCCACGGGTACCATTTTCTGAAAAACAATAGTAGTGCAAATAGCGCAAAATTTTTTGACAGCGTCGCAAAATTACCAACAAAAAAAAACAAAAAATTCCAAACATTTTCAGAAAAACTGTTTTTGTCAAACAGGACCTAACACTAGCCGAAAACAAAGCAGCATGCTATTGAATTGCTTATGCTTAAATAGACTTAAACATGATTAAATTGAAATATACCAAAAACGCCTCTAAATCATTTGAGACTTAGGTTAGAAAAAAAACTTCGTAATAACATACTCTACACCTCGTTTGAAAAATCAAATGATTAATGTTAGAGCCATTACATTCTAGACGAGAAACTAAGCTTCTAAGGCATATAGTTTTTCAAACGGCATTTTGTATTAAAAAGAACGAGGATAGTCCGTTGCGGTCCAAGTAGACCAAAACGTTCCGACCATGCTGATTACAAAAATCAGAAAGAAAAATTCGACAAAGGCAAGCTGCGCTAGAAAAAAAACGACATTAAGCCGCTCTATAAATTGAAATAAGAAAGTAGAAATAAGCCTCAAATTAGTAAAACTTTTGCTATGCCGGATTCGACCATTCAACCTTGAGATTTGGAGTCTCACTTTTCCGCATCTGCGCCATAGTCCCTAGAAAGTTTGTTAAAACGAGCCACCAAATGATGCAGCAATATATGCTAATATTGAGCCAATGCTATGCAGCAAAAACGCCGCCAAAAATAAATTAAACTAAGTGCGACGTTGAGCCTCCGGCCATTAGATAAGTAGACTCAAGTCCATCCATATGTGCCACGGTCGCTACGCGATAGGCAAACACTAGCCACAAATAAAGCAGAGAACAGATGCTACGAAACTTCGAATGCTACACATCGTGATTATGGCAACATTGTCACCAAATGAGCATTTTTATTTGCGAGTTATGCTGGAAAAAAAGTAGAGTCATGCTAATACACAAAGCTCACTAGAGTAAACATAGCCAAAGTACAACTGGAAACGTCCCAATGACCTCGACAACGAAAAATCGTTTTTTTTTATTTCGCAGGGAAATCTTATTAAGATCCATTTCTGAAACAATCCAGTTCAAGTCCATCACGTTTTTTGCGCTATTTGCAACATATTGCTCAGCTGTTCAAAACACTAAGGAAAGCTCAAGGTTATATTACTTTTACGAAAAATGTCCACGTCATCGTCATTAGATGAAACTTGGTGCAGTTGTTGGGACATTCCCAGACCCATAGTGCCTCCTGCATTCGGATTCACATCTACTGGGGCAGTCACACCCTGAGCTGCAGTGCCCAATCCACTGCCCTCGCTCCAGCCCGCCTTCTGCAACATCTTGAAGCCAATATTATCTTGTTTCAACTTATGATCTGCGAAGTTGGATGTGTCGCTCAAAGCAGCAGCCATCTCAGGTGTCATAGGGAGACCTTTAGCCTTGGCCACTTGCGCATTGAACTTGAGCAATTCCTCGTTCGGAATGAAGTCGCCAATGAATGTTCGTCCCTCGTTCAACTCAGTCACTTCCTTCGCCTTCAATTCTGTCCGCTCCATTTCCTGCTTCCGTTCAACGTGCTCCTTCGTTCCTGTAATATGCATCAAACTGAGAACTACTCCGGAGAAACAGGCAATCACCCAAAGTTATCCCAATCATTCCATTCAACCAAGCATAGCCAAGAGACACTAAGAAAAGTGTATATAACTGTAAGAAGCTGACCAAAAACTACTAAACCTTCACCGAAAAATTTGCACTTCAAAAATCTTTTTTTATCATTGATACATTTTCAACACTAAGAGTGAACAAGCACTCTGAATTGGCTAATAATCTCAATGGCTTTTTCTGGGCAAAAAACGAACATAGCCAAAGAATTTTAAAGCAAATTTCAAATAAAAAACAGATGACAAACAAAATCTAGGACTCTTTCATGATTGAAACCATCTTTTGACACAGGAGAGAAGCTGCACTTCGCGAACATTAGCAGTTAGCAGGAAAACGGCAAGAACAAGCTTTGAAAAACTTAAGATCTGCCGTAACCAAACCTCCGACCTAAACATCACGCGGCAGTAGCTCTTAAAACTATTTTCACAGCATGGCTATATTAATATAGACTGTAGCTAAAAGCATGTAGAGATCATATAATTCTTAAACATTTGAACATTGGGACTTCCAAAACAAGGCTAAAAATGTTTCCATCAATTAAATAATACCAGCGTATAGCGCACTTCCGGTGCTTCGAATTTTTGAGCTTATGAAAACTGCATATATTGGAAACAAGAGCTACAGCCGTTAGTGTACTCTGACAGCACCCAATAACAAGGTTGCTAATTTCAAAATTTATAAGTCTAATTCAATTCTTTAAAAAAAACGTCATGTCTCGAAAAATAACAGACTTAGAGACTTTGTGAGAAAACTGGATGACAATAATGGAAACAAGATCTACATCCTTTAGTGTATTATGACAGCAACCAAAAACAAGGCTGCTAATTTCAAAATTTATAAGTCTTTTAATTCAATTCTTAAAAAAAATCAAAAACAACGTCATGTCTCGAAAACTAACAGAGACTTTGGAGAAAACTGGATGCCAAAGTTGCAACCACTAAGAGTGAGCTGAAAGCACCCCACGAAAGTTTGAGCATTTCAAGTTCGAGAATTTTTCATACTAAGTTTCCGAAAAAAAATCATAAAAACGTCATACTTGGGAAACTGAAACGACTTGAGTATTCATTTTAAGAGGCGAGATTTGCAACGCCTGAGAGTACCCTTACAATAAGGTTGCCTCACTATACGGTTGGAAATTTCAAACTTAGTGAAGTTTTTTGTAGGTAAGTTTCATGAAAACTTTTGAGGAAGTAAAAAAAAGAATTTGACCAGTCGCATATGGACGCAAGATTTGCAACGCCTGAGAATACCTTTACAGTACCTAACTACAGGTTTGAGAACTTCAAATGTTTGATTTTTTCATATCTAGGTTTTCGGAAAATTTGGATAAAATCATGAAAAACGTCACATCTTGAAAACTACAAATAATTGAGCAGTTAAAATTAAAATACAAGATTGGCAACCCCGAGAGTACCCTGACAGCGCCTCACTATAGAGCAAAAATCATCAAATTTTCTGAAATTTTCCTATATCTAAGTTCTTGAAAATCTTTAAAATTACATAGAAAACGTCACGTCTCGGAAATTAAAAGCAATTGAGCAGTCGGATTTGCACGCGATATTTGAAAATCCTGATATAAATCTCACAGTACTCAAGTACAGGGTTTAGAATTTCGAATCTTTTTAACTTTCTTAAACCTAAGTTTTCTGAAAATTGAGAGCAAATTCATAAATAAAATCATGCAGAGAAAATTTCAAGGATTCGATAGACATAATTGGAGGCAGGACTCGCTATGATTGAGAGTACCCTGACAGTGTTGGGAATATCAAATAAAGTGATTTTTAAATTGAGTTTTCTGAAAATTGTCGTATCTTATACGCTAAAAAGCATTTGGGAATTCATAATTGGAGGCCAAATTCGCAACTCCGGGGGAAGCCCTGACATCATCCCACTATTGGGTTGCTAATTTTAAATTTAGGAAAAAACACTGATTTCAAACTAGAAAATCCAAATAAATTCTTAGCCATGGCATTATACGATATAGCTTAAATGTTAAAAAAAAAACCTTTCGTTAAAAATGCAAACATAATAGGTTGAAAAAGGTTAAACGTGGCAAGATAGCAAAGCCCTCATTTAAATATACACAGAGGCGAAGCAGAGCTTTGCATCACTTTCGATACCACAAAAACAACATTGCAAGATAGCAGAAAGGAAAGAAAAGGAGAGCCACTAATTCCAAAAGAAAATGAGAAAGTTTTCGATGAAACTACAATTTAAAAACTTCAAGATGTTGTCTGGAAAGATGTTCTATTTCAACATGGAAAACACGTCCAGACATATATTCGACATTCGGCATTTAATGAAAATTCAAAAAAAAAATTATCAAGCCAAAATAAAAAAAAATGCCAAATTATAGTTCAAAATAAAAAAAATTGCCTTATAAAAACTATTGTGAGATTTTTTAAGCAAAAAGAACCAAAGAAAAAATGCGCAGTGAAGGCTAGTAGATTTGAAAATTGCAGAAATTAATGAAAACATAGGAAACAACTACATATGAAAACTGCATACGGCAACTGAGCCGACAAAAAAAGCAGACAAAAGATCAACCGATTTTTTTGCAACCTTTGCGGCACCTTCGCCGTCCAAGGCATATTCGTTACCTTCAGACTGAGAGTGCCAAAGATGCTTAGACATTTGAACTTATTATGAACCAAGATACCAAGTGATTCTGTTAAACAAGTTGTTAACCCGAAAAAAGTAAAAAGTCTATATTCCGATTTCACAACGCTTGCTAACTACAAGCGTAATTTAAGACACAGATTACTTTCATCATTTTGTTTGTTCTGTTCGTTATATCCTTTACTGTCTAGATCAGACCCGCTTCCTTGTCGTTCACCGAGGAAAGTTCAAGAAAAAGTTTTTTCGAGTGAAAAAAATCATCAACCGATTTGCCAAGTCGCGTCCAAAAATCATCACATACTCCTACAAATAACAAAAAAATTATGCAAATCTAAAAATTACCGAATACACAACAAACACCGAATACAAAACAAAACAACGAACACCGAATAAAAACAAACAACAAATGTGGGAATCAGCAACGAATACTTGAAGTCGTGCACAGTTTATTTGCTCTAATTTTGCCACTAACCATGAAAAATTCTATTAGTGCTATGATGCAAGGGCTACTAGAATTCATGCTGAACACAGATACTGCAATTGGACGCAGAAAACTTTGACAAGAGAGAGAGAGAGAGAGAGAGAGAGAGAGATTTTATTCGCGTGAAACGAAAAAACCAACAAAGAAACCAGAACTAAAACCAAAACATACCTCCATTTGCCTCAACATCCTCTTCATCGCTGTTATAGGAAACACCCTGAGCCAAAGACCAGGCCAGTTTTTTCTGCTTTGCCTCCTGCTCGGCTCTCTTCAATTCCTCCATTGCAATGAGCATGTCAAAATCATCATCATTCAGAGCAACTACCTTTCCTAAAACTCAGTGAAAATGAGCTCCGTTTATTTCAAGTGCGAAGTCAATATTACACTTTTAATCAGCCCTGACCATTATCGCCGGCTAGCTGTAGACTAGAACTGCTCTCTGGTCCCCATCTGCTTTTCCGTTTCCTCGACTTTTCGTGAGATTGCTCGTCTTCCCATTTAGACTTATTTGTAGCGGTTTCTGGTGTAAACACACTGTCGATCACAGGTACATCGAGCGTATCTATATTTATAGTAGGAACTTCTGCCTTAATGCTGGTAGTATGTTTCACTTCATTTTCTTTTCTCAATAGTGCTGATTTCTTAGTTTTCATTTTTTCACGCTCATCTGCAAGCTTTTTTTGGAAATGCTTGTACGTTTGTGATTTCTTGTCGTGAAGAAACCAAAATTCAGGATCATCTTTCTGATCATTGAAAATTATCCGTTCCATGTCATCGCCGAACTCTAGAATTGATTCTATTAGTTTATCGATGACAACGTGAGTTTTCGCTGTAACTGGTTCCACATAAACATCGGGCAGCGTAGCATCATACTCGTTAAACTCTTCCTTTGCATTGAAATCTGCCTCTGACAAAGATGTCACAGGACGATCCACATCATCAAAAACTAGCTTAGGCTTGCTCAAAATTTTATCTTGGCTCATCTGTTTGAAAGCTCGACTCAAGGAATTCTTAGAATTTCCACCACGCTGATTAACTTCCACATTTGTTTTTGGCTTGTTCTCCGACACAGCGCCATTCATTTCTTTAAATTTCTCGAGGAAAGATCCATCATTTGAGAACTTGTTCATGTTGGCAAAGATATGAATTTTCAATATCTTTCGGCGAGTATCACAAATTTCGTCAACCAGCTGATACCAAACTTTTACCTGAAGAATTTTTCTCTTTTTAATTTTTTCTGAAAATAATCAGGTCGAAAGTACCTTAGTAACCGAGGTTACAGTCAGAAGTCCCTTCATCACATTATCCAGTCAAAATCCTCGGAACTTTCTAAATATGAAAGAGTGAAGTATAACGTGGATAGTAGTAAAATATCATACGCTAAACGTGTGCGGCAAACACCGTCGGATAGAGGGATTGAGAAAGCCAGGAAGTATTTGAAGGACAATGGTCTCTTGGCAGTCCCATTCGATAAAGGTGTTGGCTTCTGTGTAATGAAGAAAACGACATATGAGGCTAAACTAACTGAGCTGCTGCAATCGGAACAATTTAGCGAAAAACCAGGTTTAACTGAGAGTGTTGTTATGAAAATTGAGAAAGACATCAACAAAGAACTGTTGGCCATGGAAAAGAAAGATGAGATCGACGAGGCACTGTATAGTAGGCTTAGGTCCACGGGAGGGCAGCCAGCTCGATTATATGGATTGGCTAAAGTACATAAGAAAGGAACCCCTCTCCGTCCCGTACTGTCACTGCCAGGGAGCTCATATGAACATCTAAATAAAACTTTGGCCAAATTTTTTGACAACATTGAGCGAGGGGGCAAACATTGAGACAAACACACAAATGGCTCGGGAGATTCTAGAGAACATAGATCTAGACTATAATGAGAGTATTATCTCCCTGGATGTCAAAAGTTTGTACACTAATGTCCCACTAAAGGAGGCAATAGATATAGCACTGAGGAAACTGTACGAACAAACTAGTCCTCCTAAACTGGCACGCGAAACTATGAAGAAATTGTTGAACATGGCTGTAAGTAAGGTGCACTTCAAATGCAATGGTTTATGGTACGTACAAAAAGATGGGTTGGCAATGGGTGCATCCCTTGCTGTCATTCTTGCCAATTTATGGCTAAAGGAGTACGAATATGCATTAATGAAGGAAGTACCTGCGTTGACACAGCTAAATGAAAACCGGAATGGCCTATGCCCTGATTGCGAGCGGAGGGTAACATACAGAAGTAAGGGGATCGAATGCGAAGCTTGTTTAAATTGGTAACCATTTAAAGTGTAGTAATGTATCCGACAAAGAATATGAGCAAATCTCAGAAATGGTTTGGTATTGTAAGAGATGTAAAGAGCAGCGAGATCAAGAAAAACCAACAGAAAATGTCAAAGCGTTCCTAAGATATGTAGATGATATAGTGAGGACGGTAAAGGGGGATCCAGATATAGTGTTAAAAGCAGCTAATGAGCTCCACCCCAACTTACAATTCACTATCGAAAATCCGGATTCGAACGGAGACTGAGCCTTTCTAGATTTGAACATTAATGTGGACTCACGAAAAAAGGTAACATGTGGATGGTATCAAAAACCAACGGATACTGGGACTATCCTTAACTTCAGAAGCTGCGCTCCATTGCAATATAAACGCAATGTAGTTGAGGGTACTGTTCATCGGATTTTTAGAAGTACATCAACATGGGAAAACTTTGAGAAGGCAATGAAGATTAATAAAGAACAATGGGTGGATAATCAATACCCTGAAAAAGGGTCAGATGGTGTCGTATTAAGAACGTTGAATAAGATCATCGACCGAAAAACTGACACACGAACAACGGTAACATCAGTCAAGGAAGATCCTTTAAAGGTCAGTGCACCCATTATAACATTACAATACCGGGGTAATGCATCGGAGTGGTTTGCTGCCAAACTGCGTCAAAACGCCGGAGCCCAAGTGATATTTACTACGAGAAAGCTCAAGACTTGCCTACCGTCCCTTAAATCTCCCTTTGCGAAAGATTTGAAATCCAGAGTGGTCTACAAGCTCACATGTAGTGGATTTAATTCCACCTATGTTGGACAAACGGTCCGGCATTTGACCACGCGGATTGATGAGCATCACAAGGAAGATTCGCCAGTAGGGCAGCATTTGAGAGAATGTGACAGGGATGGTAAGAGCGCTGAGCTTAAGTCTGAGATTATAGATCAATCAAGTAACATACAGAAACTCCTCACTCTGGAGGCCTTACATATTTGGAAAGAACGCCCCAGAATTAACACGCGCGAGGAGTTCAGGAGCAGGGAGCTGACATTAAATTTATAGTACATGTTTAAACATGACTAAAAATTGCAATTTTTGAAAAAATAAAATGACATGTCAGTTTGGGTAAAACATCAAATCGAAAAATTATGACTCAAGTAACAAAAAAGTATGGAAATTGTCATAATCGATGAAATAATGATTACGTAATAACAGATGTAAGAATGTGATTGGTTAAAAATTTCTAACATGTTCTTTTTGAATTTCATACATGATCTTTGATCATTTTATTGTAAATAAAAAAATTTTATATCCTGACGATGCACAAAATGTGCGAAAACGTTTGAATTAACAATTTTAAAAAATTCTTATAAAACAACTGACCTGATATGAGGCTACGAGTCTACTGTTACTTCGATGTAACTTAACTTATTTTTCCTCAACATTAATCACAAAACTTTCAGAAATTATCATGATAACTGAAGTTACAACACTAGAATTCAAATTTGGCTTCGTTAAGTGATAGTAAACAAGCTCCTGGCCATAAAAACATTTATGTAACATTTGCCCGGAAGTACATATCGACGGAAAATAAAGCTAGGTTCTAAAACGACTGGCCAGCGTCTAAACAAAGCTCTACATGCTTTTCACCGTCTCTGCCAAAGCCAGTTCGTTTGGTGGTTTTCCTAACATCGGGTCTACAAACACGTTACTGTTCTCCGGCTTCGACCACAACTGTTCTCCGGCTTCTACCTTTCTTTTTAGATAGAAAGGTAAAACTACAGCCGGGACAGGCTGTGGTTGCAATTTTTAGAATGAGGATTTTGAATTCGTGAAGCGATAGTAAACAGGTTTGTTTGGTACCAAACCCAAATAGTCAAAGTTCAGTGATTTTAGGCCGGAGCTTCTCGGTAACTCGAAACGGACTGTGTGTCAGTGTGTTATTGAACCCACTGGACACCACGGTTTCAATCCAGCGTTGCCGGTTACGCTTTGCTGATGAGTACCGACTATGAAGAGACACAAAACTTGAAGAAACATAGTGTGAAAGACTGTCCTAATCATGCCAATAAAGATATAATTTTGAAAAGAATTAATGAATTTAAATCTATTCATAAACAGTTTTCAATGAAATCCGAAACGGATGTAGGTTTGTCGAGCTGCTCGAATTTTCCGGAACGCCTCTCGTCATATAAACTAGAATCTGACAAAACGGTTTTGCCAGAAATAGAACACTTAAAAGGCAGTATAGGCGAGGGAGATTTTGAATCATTGCGGGCGGTTTTAAATCGGAACGCGGATGTATTTTCAAAACATAAGGTGGATACTGGTTGCTGTAACTTCTTCGAACACGAAATCGAATTAGAGGAAGGAGCCGTCCCCCACAGGGAAGGCGCAAGACGACTGACGCCACATAAATCGGAAGCGTGCCGAGCGGAAATAGAAATGTTGCTCGAAAACGACATGATAAAACCCTTAAAAATGCCATGGCCTTGCAGGGGTAATCATGGCGAAAAAGAAAGGGGGCAGCTTAGGTTTTGTTGTGACTTCCGCCATTTAAATGCGGTGACAATAAAAGATGTGTACCCGATACCGCGGATAGATGAGAGCCTCTCTTAACTTGGTGATGCCAAATTCTTCACCACACTGGATTTGGGTTATGCCTTCTGGCTGGTCTCTCTGCGGAAGAAGGCTAAGGAGAAGACCGGACTCGCATGTGAATTGGGTTTGTACCAGTGGAAGAGGATGCCCTTCTGCTTGTGAAACGCAATGGCCACTTTTCAAAGACTGATGGCTCAGGCTTTGACCAGAGTGACGAAGAAGTATGGGAATCTTGTGATGTATTACGTGGATGACGTGGTCATAGCAACACCAACCCTGGAAGATCACATTGATTGGCTCGATGAGGTCTTTGGATGCATGAAAAAAGCAGGCTTGAAATGCAAACCATCGAAATCTGAAATCCTTAGGGATTCAATCAAGTATCTAGGAAGAATGGTGGACAGGCATGGCGTGAGGCCGGACCCGGAAGCAGTAGAGGCTGTGTTGATATGGAAGGCTCTCAGAACGGACGCACATTTCATGAGCTTCCTAGGGTTTGCCAATTATTACCGCGAGTTCATAAAAGGATATTCAGACAAGGTGTATCCCATGCAGAGGCTGATGCGCAACAAAGGAAAGATGTTCGAATGGAACGAAGAAGCACAAGTTGCCCTCGAGAAAATAAAGCGGGAACTGTGCGAAGCCCCAGTGCTAAGCATATATGTTCTTGACACAGACGCATCAGTGGTAGCAATCTCAGGAATACTGCATCAGGAGCAGGAATGGAATGGAAGAACAGTTCTCCGTCCCATTGCATATGGCAGTAAGGTGTTAAGTGACACTGAGATGAAATATGGTGCACCGAAAGGAGAAATGTTTGCAGTAGTCACATTCGTGAAAAAAACCGCGCAAACTTGGGGAGCGTTTTCTTTTAAGTTACGCGTGGACAACAGAGCGTTATCCTGGCTGAAGACATACTCGATGGATCAGAGTTATATTGGTAGATGGGTAGTAAGATTAGATGGCTATCACATGATAAACGAGCACAGGATGCGTGACAAACACCAGAATGCTGACAGCCTTAGCAAGAAGACCGAGTTCTATGAAAGATTGGAACAGAAGCAAGCCAATCAGGCAGAAATCAAGGAAGGGTTCTCGTTTCTGGACAAACCTATGGAGCGCTTCCCTTGACGAGATGGTTGGACAAGTCTGGACATCCAATTCCAGGACATCCTGAGTTACCTGTGAAGAAAAAGGCCGAGATAAAGATTCTATCCAAGAAGGACCCGCTGCCCTTGGATCTGTTGCTGCGCTCAAACATGGTCCAGCAGGAACCCTCTGGCATGAACATAAACAGCCTCTCATTATTGGATAAAACGGTGCAGGTCACACCGCAATTAATGCGGATGCTGGGTTGATTGTTAGAGAGAGA